GTAGCATATATAATGGTTGACTGTGATCCTTGCCATAAAGATAAGAGTTTGATTATTACTATTCTTTTTCAATTTCTTTCTCCAAATGTAGCTATTAATAGTTTTAGGAATGAGTTCAAATCATAAAAGAGTCACAAATTCTTTTCTATTAAAGATGCAAACCAAGAAAGCACTTCCAAATAAAAATGTGCCTATGAATCTAACTTGAATAAATCCATTAAGATATTAGAAGGGATGCAATCTTAGATAGAGCTTAACTTATTGCAGAAATTTTCAAAATTTTGATCTTGTTCCATCAAACTTATCTAACATACCTATTTGTATCATTGTTGTACTTGTAGAAACAAAACTTCTTAAATTTGGTTGTGAGATTAATTTATTTGCTTCTTTCAATTGTACAACTTCTTGCCATAGGTTCTAAATTTCTTTCATAGGCATAGGATTAGTATTTCCATGGTTGGTACTATTGATGCATGAAATTTCCACTCTAAGAATATTGGCAAGTTTGTAAAGATCTCTAATAGTTGTAAATCTATTCTCACTTTTATCAAGTGTAGCATCGATGATTTTTTCCTCCATTTCAAACCACTTAACAAATCCATAAGTCAAATTAAAGAAAGATAATCCAAAACCTCTAATATTGAATGAAAATTTCGATAAAGAGAGGCAATCCATTCTCTTTAAGGAAAAAAAATTGGAGTTAGGAAATTAATTAGTTTGTTTAAAGGTAGATAATCTGCAACCTTTAAAATACAACAATAGAAGTAGGGTAATTCATTCATTTCTATAATAAGATAAGAACAAAAACTTGGCACACTTATCAAATTATTAAAGATATGAATCTTAAAGAACTAAAATATTAATACACTCTTATAAAACTCAAAAGACTATAAAATCACTTAAAGATGTTATATTCTTAAATTAAAATGGCTATTACTAAAGATAAGAAGATTTAAAAGTCTTGAAACAAGACTAAAGACTAAAAAGACATTAATAAGAGTGACAAAGGCTTCACTCTTGCCTCCATATATTCTTTTAACTAGGACCTACATGGTGATATCCTGTAGAACCTCCAAAACATGTTGACTTTACAAGACATATATTTTAACTTGCAAGACAAGTTTTCTATAGGTACACCACATAATTAGCTTGTTTCACAAGTTACCAACACGTGATTAACTTATTAAACAAGTTTTTAACCTATCAATCAACTACAAGTACATGTGAAATCAAAGTAGCATCTATCAAGCTTCTAAGAAGCTTTTTAAAAAAAAAAAAATGAAATGAATTTACTTTTACCTACTTCTACTTAATCATATAGGTAAATATCACAGTAAATATGTATATCTGTGACACCAATAAAGATAGACAATTTATTTCTATAATTATCAATGCACCAATTCAGTATTCTTTTTCATTTTTCATAGCTAATACTACATCCCATTATTTTCTTTTGATTTGTGTACAAGCCCTCTATTAAGCATTCAAAATCTTTGCTCCAAATCTTATTACATATCTATTCTTTTGTTCATCATCTTATTCAATTCTCCAACCTATTATAATTGGACTTGCATCAATTATTAATATCACTAGCCTTCTATATTCATAATTTACTTTCTTTAAAATTGGAAGTAAAAAAATATATATACTTTTAATTTTTTTAAAGGTTTTTTTTTTTTTTTTTTTTTTTTTTTTTTTTTTTTTTGTTCTCCTTTCTATTGAAATTTTTGATTTTTTCTTAACTTATATAATGGATCTGCTATATGTGCAAAATGAGGTATCCATATATAATAGAAAATACATGCTCCTAAAAACCTTTTGACTTCTATCATGTTTGCGCATTCTTTCATTTTTTTTTTTAATAATATTAATCTTTTCCATATTCAGCTTGCATCTATATAATCCACACATGTGTCCTACCACCAAAACTTTTTTTACTCCAAATATTGATTTTGCTCTTAATAAGGTTAAATGAACATCTTCTAACCTTATCAAAACCTTTTCACAATTATTAATATGATCAACCACAACCTTTCTACATCCCTTTAAATCCAATGTCTCATCCTTTCTTTCTTCTTCACATTCCTTAATTGGCACATCATCTAGAAAAGGCATTATTGTTTTTGGAATAAAAACCATTAATACCTTATGCTTTCCATTCATCATATATGCCACAAAATTTGTAGCCCCTAATAATAAAGTACACATTTTAACCAATCCTAATGGTGTCTTTATATTTATTAAATCTCTACTTTGCATTGCCAAATGAAATTGATCATATCCCAAATAAAGATCTCTTATAAAATAAATTCCTCTCCCTACAAATGCGTTTACAAACTCATCTATAATTGGACTTGAATCCATATTTTTAATAATTATCTTATTTATTAGTTGCATATCTTAAATAAACCTCAATGTCCTATTTTTCTTAGGTACAAAGAACCACCGATTGTAATATGGTGCAATAGACAATTTTAAAATTCCCGTTGTAATCTTTTCATTGAATAATTTGACTAGGTTTGGAAAATGGGCTTTTGGAATTGGAATTGGCCTCAAATTCCATCATTCATGTGGAATTGTAAAAATAATCATAGATGCTATATATATCTTCACTAATAATATGAGATGTGAAAAATAAAAAATTATTAAAATATATATATATATATATATATATATATATAATAAAAATATTAATTGCGAATATGTATTCTTATTTTTGAATTTAGATAGGTAATGTGTATTTGCATCAAGTACATTGTAATAAAATAATAATAATTTAAAGATAAATGTATATTAATAAAATTTATTATCTCTCTCTCTCTCTCTCTCTCTCTCTCTCTCTCTATATATATATATATATATATATATATATATACATATGATTTGTTGTAATTAGTTTTGTAAATTAAATCAAAATAGTTTTTAAAATATAAAGATTAAGATTAAAAAATAATTTAATTTAATACATAAAATATTTTATAGAATATAATATTATTTTTTCAAGTAATTTGTTAAGAATTGTATGTGTATGTTTTTTCTTTTTTTTCTATTAATTAATAATAAATTTATAATAAAAATTAAAACACCAAGAACTTGTATATTGAAAAGATTATATGAAGAAGTTATTTATAAAAATATAACCATTCTAATAAAACTAACCTAAAGATTGCATTAAATATATATATATATATATATATATTATAGAAAATTATGCACATTATATTATTTACTTTATATTTTTTTTTATTCAAACACTTTTCTTAATTGATGTCAAAAGAAAAAAATAATTATGTATTTTTATAGTAATTCTTCTAAGTTCTAGAGCTTTATATAGTTGCTACTGTGCAATTTAAAATTCTTATAAAAAGATAGGAGTGGGAAATTTAAAAAAAAAAAAAAATTGCAAAAACTGTTTCACCAAAACAATACATAAATAGATGTTTTGGGTAGACATCCATCCATTTATTGTCTCCTATAGTGCAAGTTTAACATGGATAAAGTTTGAATTGTGCTTTTATAACAGCAATTGTGAGGCACTTTAAAGTTGAAAACACTACCCTATCTTCTTTAATCAACTACTCCAATTTTGTTGTGAAAATATTGGGTTTAAATCTGGACGGTATTTGTCCCACAAAGCATCCAATTTTCAAAATTCAATCCCATCTCTTCAAAATCGCCTCCTCCTCACGCGGCTCATCCAATTTTATTCAAGTTAGATCTGCTCTCATCCGTTGCGCAAGCCATCCATGATAAGCCCTAGCCCTAACCCTAAGCAGTTGAATTACTCGAGTTGTTTCGAAATATGTGCACCATTTCTTTCGGACCGGTTTTAGGGGGTTGCAACCTTCACCCTCATCGCATTATTTGAGCTCCTACTCGAGGTCGGATAATGTGATAGCAGAATTTTAGTTTTGCTTCATGAGCTTTTGCATTTTGAATTGGATCTCTGTGAAACAAGTGCCGGTTTCTCCTCAGTCATTGAACACCACTTCGGCTTTCGGCAAATGTATGAGTTACCGTCCTTTTGTCAAATCGTGAAAACTCAGACCAATGAGTCACTGTGCTTCAATAGCGCTTCACATGCACCTCCGTTTGTTCAGAAAGTCAAAGCGCTTTCGTTTTGTCGATATCTGTGATCCACTACGCCTTGTTTTGAAATCGGGTTCGAATGGAAGTGAAAAATCTTCGAGGATACACAACCGGTTATAGCTGATTTCCAGATAAGTATCGGCTCTCCGAGTGGTGGAGGAATCAAGGATAGTTTATCAGTCACGACTTTCGTTACTACTCACTGAATTTTTTGTATTTTGTGGTGTTTTTGACACAAACTGGACTTTGCTCAACTTCAAATGGATAACCATTCTGGGTTTTTCACAAAAGTGCCGAGCGGCAGTTGGTTTTTGGGGATACTTCGATAGTTGGTTGCATCTGCCTACGCACACAGGCTGGAATTTGGAGGTCTCGGCTCATCGTTCAAGACTCACTTCCACTTTCTTAACAGCTAGAACACTCTCCAATATCAGCTCTCGGACTCCAACTGGACTTTGTGTGGTTTATGACACTAGCATTTTTAGATTCAAAAAGCGCAGGACGGAGCACTTTAACATAAATGCTTGGCCAGATTCCTCGTTGGATAAACAGTACACGTCAAAACCCTGATCCTGAGCTCATGTAATCGCGGATGGAGTTTAAAGCAGGACGCTTTAGTCCAGACTCTTGAGGAAGGATGAGAACATGGATCACTAGGGTTGAATCAGCGGCGTGAGATCAGGCCACACCGAAGCATAATTTCAACGATTCAGTGTGTCACTGATGTTTACTACAGCAGGTTCAACTTGTTCCGGCTACTTGTTAGGTTTAAGAGGTGTTCTTTATCTTATCTTCGGGCTTCTTTTTTTTTTTTTTTTTTTTTTTTTTTTTCCCCTTTCGACTTCCATTCCAGTCGCCACACTTCACTTGATGACAGATCCCCACTCAGTTGATGCCAAGCAATTCAACCGACATTGGAAAGAAGAAGGTGCCCTGCCGAGTCTGGACAGACTATTCGTATTGCAACGGTTCCTTGGGATGACTAGGCATCGTGACAAGTCAATGCGATCGATCTTATTCGCTCAATTCAAAAAAAAAATGATGCTCGATCTTGATAACAAAACTTACCTGGAGGATGTTCTTTGAAGCTTTTGGCAAAATTAGTAGGTAATTGTCGGTTTTAAACCGAACTTTCGTGCAAAGTTACTCTTCCCTCGATTTTTAACCCTAGATGTCTGAACCTACTGCTGCACATCAATTCGCATCAATGGTGCGCCACATTGCTGTTGCTTCTCAGGATCAATCTCAACACAGAGTCTCTTCGGCACACAGTTCAATCGAAATGTTCCTGCGTGGAGACTCTTTCAGTGGGCCAAGGGAAATATCCTTGACAGCACCAAGATGGAAGTCGTTCTTAGGAATTGGAAGGATTACAGCAAAGCACAATCCCCAACTGAATTTCCAGATCCTTAATTGATACAGAAATATTCCTCGGTGTAGAAATAAACACATAAAGGTAGGACCCAATTCGATCTCGTCCACCCTACACACGATTCGGCTTTTATCCTGCACAGTTTGCAAAGATGCGATGCTACAAGAGGTTGCAGTTATTTACTACTAATGACTGATCAGCACACGTGACGACCGAGACGGGCAGCGGCTCTCACTTATCCTGGTGAATGCAAATCTGTATCTCTGCTTCTCTGACAATGAATATTGTTGTAGTTGCTTCTGCTTGCGACTGTGCAAACAGTCTGGAAATGGATACTTTCAATGCTAGAGTAAATTGCCTTGTTCCAGGCCCAAGGATTCCCTTGAGTATTCACGCCATGTTGCTGTATTTGCAGAAAAGAATCTTTATCAAATTCATGAACCTGTACTGACCAAGCTGAATTCATGGAGGACCATTCTGTTACCATTCTGAGGAGGCTTTGATTAGGAGTTGTTTCCAACTTGAATCTTACATTATTTCAGCAACGGTTGGAAGATTGGGTAGAGTTCAGCAGTTCAAATTGAATTTGATTGCTGTGATCGTCTGTCTCCGTCTTTGACATTTTAGACAGAGCCTCGGCAGTACGACCCTCAGATTTGTACCACTAGATGAATGTCGCCCTAGGGATGATCCATGAGGGCTGTTTTTCTCTGGTCTGTAAGAGAGGATCTTTAAGACATAGGGTTAGCAAATCTGATAGCTTTTGATGAGTATTCTTTGGCGTTTTGAAGTGGTCTAATAGTTTTTTTTTTATATATAGAAAATTTGATTGACTGTGGGCATGGAAGCCCATGGCAGGGGTTCCCCGAGGAGAAAAGGCCGCGCGACATGAGCGCACTTGGGGTGGATCATTAAAGAAGGGTGTAGAGTTGCATTAATGACTGGGTGTGTTTCTACTTGGATGCGGAGAAGCCGGACATTATCATAAATGAGACCGTGTTTCAGTTGGGGGTGGACGGCAATAGCATCAAAGCTGATGGATTGATCGGAGTGTCCGAATGCAGCCGTTGCAGCAACTTCCATGTGTCAAAAGCCTAAACACAATCCTAGACGATTAATGATCCTTCGTGTTGCTTTTTGGCTAAGCGTCGCTCTCCCTTTTAGTAATAGTCTTCCGAGGTTGTTTCCCAAGCCCCGGATCCGTCTCATTGACCACCTTCACTATTGTTTCCCCACATCCTCTCAACTGCCAACTTCAGCTTTTCGTGGTTGGAACAGTGCCTGGATTGCACTCATGAGTTCGAGTTCGCCTTTGCTTTGAGAGCAATGAGAGCCGCTGACTCTGCCGTGTCTATTCAGGTTTGGCTGGGGATGAAGGGGATGACGTTGGAGTTTGGTATTTGTGTTTCAGTAGATCATTTTGCATTCTAGACATCTTTGTGGGTTTAGACCGAGGACTTTACCCGCTTTGCTGTGGCTCTAATTGCCTCTAGGGGGTATATCTCGATGTTATGGTCTGTTCACGGCTATCCTGTGCTATTATGCTCATCTTTCAGCTGTTAAAAGCTCATACTCTGTTAGAAGATTACGTGAAGAATTCTTGACTTCGTATAATATTTGAATGGGGAAAGCTCCCATATCGAATGTTTCAATTGACGTTTTTTCCTGGCACAACTGCTGTTCATTCTTGAAACCTGTACCTACCAGGAGTTGCCTTCTTCCACCGCGGATTTGAATCGTTGGGACTTTCAATACAATGCTTGAGCCTTTACCGATGCTCTCTCATTGTTAATTCCCTTCATGAGCCCATTGGATCATCTCTTGTTTGAATCCTCCCCGCGCGAGGCATATTCTTGAGGGAGTTGTTTTGGTTATTGTACTTGGTCACTATTGCGCGAGGAGTTGAAGGCGTTCATATTTTATTGTATTGATCTCCACTAGCTCAAGAATCACTTTTGCATTGTTGTACTCATAGTGTTTATGAGCTGTCTTCTCGAAGTATTTGACAGATGACGAGCTGGCATTACTCGTTCTATTGGATTTACATACCCCAACGAGTTTCCCAAGATTGACAAGCGACAGCCAGAGTCTTCCGCTCTGGGTAGTGATGAAGTTACATGTTAGCTCCCCTCGGTGCAGGTAACCACTGCCAACGATCTGAAATCGCTACAAGCTACCATAGATGCTATTGTTACCACATGTTGGCATCAATCTTCGGGGCAGAAGTGCCGGGTTGAAGGCTTGATTTCTTTCTGATAGTGCAAATTATGGAGTATGTGCTCGTAGCAATCCAATCCAGAGGTGACTGGGAAGAAGTGTAGTTGACGTAAAACTTCAATTACTTTGGTTCACGGATGGGATTGGAAATGCAGGGTAACGTTCAGCCCTCATCAAAGGCTGATGGCTACTTCCAATATACGTGAAATTCAGCGGAGAATTGAGTATGGCGAATGACTTGTCAAACCTGTGCCGAATTGGGGAACTCTTTCCTCGGAATGGCTTGAACTTTGCTTATCCCAAGATTTCTGAAGGATATGCTAATAAGCACAAGATAAGTGGCCGTGCAAATGTGAAAGGAGACATGCACGTGGTTGGGGGACCGCAGAACACTAGAGAGAAGTCACAAATTGTGGAGTTAAATCTCTTGAGGGAGGTGATTGGTCACAGGAAGTTGCGAGGCAGCGAACGCTGTCTGCTACCGGTTTTAAACGCGATACGGTTTCTAGAGTGCAGCAACCGAGTGCAATATCCTAATGGTGACAATAATGCGAATATTGAATCTCTTCCGATGAATGAACATTCTCCCTCCGATTCCAGGGAGCACTATGGGTTAGCTTGGTCACTCTCCAAGTGCAAGTCTTTATCTTCTCCGGAGTGGGAGACTCTAACCAAGACCCAACATGGTAAGTGAAAAGGAAAAGTATGCTCTATGAATGCGTTCAGAAGCATATTCGAGAGACCTGAAGACATAATTCGGAAATTTATCTCCCAAAACATCAAGTCACGTATCAATTCTAACATGGAAGCGGTATTGCTTGATTGGGTTCTTCTCGTCAGGTTGTCCACGAGGATCTGATAAAGGAAAAACTATGTATGACTGGATCAAAGTGCTGCGTCGTCTTCAGAAAGTTGATCCTAATGCCTACTTTGACATAGCGAATACACTCATTTCGCAATTTTCTGTTGTGGAGCCTAGTGCATACTCTTGCACTGGTAAGCGTGCGTGCTCATTAACCAAGTTTCTCTGTTTTAAGCTCAATGACAGTCTTCTGATTGTTTCTTGATTCATGTTCTTCATATGAGTTAAATGTTTCACGGCAATCATAAGACATATTTTCTAAGGTGTTTGTTTAGTAGATTTGGGCGACCTCAATCTGACTGGGTTCTTAATTTGAGAAATTGTTTTTGCAGTAGTGATCATATAGACTATATTTTACAGACGCTTATGAGGTTCACATGATTTGAACTTGTAGATGTTGTCAGGACCTTCAAAGCATCAGAGAAGAAGCGAGGGTTTTCAATGACAGCCAGAACAAGTAAACCATATATTACTTCTACAATCAAGAAAAGCAGTTGGCTGTTCACTCCATTTCCAAAAGGAAGAGTCCGTAAGTCCAATAGAGGTAGACTTCAAAGGTCAGGAAGCACTTCTCGAACCCCACCGAGGATAGGAGTCAGGAGTCCTAAGCGGCCTTCAAACTATCATGACCTGAAGCGGCTCTCGCCCCTTTTACATCGTAAATCACAATTAAGATTCAAGTTGTGCACGCCTGAAGAAAATAAGCCTGAACGAGTTTCACCACCAGCTGCACTACGTTCGGGCATGTGGAGACATTCCTGGCCGGCCGACGCAGAGAGGAAAGCCACTGTGATTCTGGTTTGTTTGTCTACTCTTTTACTTGCATTAGATCATGAGGATTTCTACTGAATATGTCTCAAAAAGTGTTAGGTCTAGCACTTTCCGAGTTCAATACTTATTATTGTTTTCGGGGATTTGAAGTTTATGTTGGAATGTGATAATTGGAGCCTTAACAGGTCTTGTTGGTTGAATACCAAATTTTAACCACTGATTTGCACTCGAAATGGTGATTTGTTGTTTTGAAGCTCCGTTCCTGTCATCTTATCCACTACTTGGTGTGATACTGCACAGGCGCAGTGGCGAATGTATTCAGCTAGACGCCAGTACCAGGCGTTCCGACACGCAGCAATTACAATACAAAGGCAATGGCGACAATCTAGGAGGCTGTATGCAGCAGAGAAGGATATTGTGGTTCCAAATTTTGGAAAGTCTGACATCTGCAGTAATACCCAACGGCTCAATGGCCGTGCTACTATTAAATCTGGAGCTGAATCATTGTGCAACGAAGTCGCTGGTAAATCCATTAACACTTACTGACATTTAATTATGACCCAGGTAGACATACAGAATGTCATGATGAGTAACCATAAATTCACTGCAGTATCATTCACCTTGATTAAAACATCCATCTGCATGTGCTGGTACCTTCTCTATGATGGCGAAAGCGATTGTATTTTGAACTTGCGGCTTGGCCTTGCAGGCGAAGACACTCAAAGGAGTTTGAAGACGCCTGGATGTTTAGTTCAACTTCTCTGCGATAATTCAATGCTACAAGAAGAAGTTTTTGCTGAATTTTTGAGTTTCTTACCATCCCCTGAGCGGGACCTCAGCGTAAATGATCTCTCCAGTTCTACCGTCGTTTCTCCTGATTCCTTCAGGATCTCCAGCACAGTATTGGAAGAGAATAATGATGAAGATCCACAGTCACCTCCATCAAAGACCAAGACGTGGAACTGTGATCCCTGCAACCTAGACAGTCCTGTCTGTTCACCTGCGAAGGAGCTTACATTCGCTAAAATTAGTATAGATGGGTCACTTCCTCCAACACCTATCAAAGAATGGAGTTCGCGCAAGCGGGACCTCGTTAGGAGTCCTGCAGCAGTCCCAATTTCATGGAATTACTGTACTAACGATATAGATCATCACTCTCCAACTAAGGATTGGGCTACTCCTCCAGAAAAAGGTCGAAATTCGACTTTTCTTCTTGCAGAATCCCCCCAGGCTGATTCAAAGTCGAAATGGTCCCAACTGCCAAGCGAGTGGTTCGCGGATCTTGACGACTCCGACATATCTGATAGCTGCTGCGACACTTCCCAGGTTATTAGCATTGCGTTTTCTCCTCCATCAGATCCTAGTCTTAAGCCCCTTCATGGTTTTACAGACGTTCCGACCTCGAGACATGAGATGATGGTGCCCACCTCCCCAGCGCTGGTGTGCATCCCCAAGGATTCCAACACGAGCGGTTTACCTTTTCACCACAGTAGTGAAGACGTGGAGGTCGCTACTTCTAATTCCGATAAGAAGTTTTCCGTCTCAAACAAGCTCACATCCTCGAAGGCCATTGGTTCCTCCTATTTGAAGGTCGTACCATTGAGTGAGAGAGATGTTGACAGTCTGAAGCTCAGAACTGCAAATGTGCCAGCTAGGTCTACTGATTATCTACTTTCATCTGCATTGGAGGAAGAGCTCATAGATGAGCTAGCAAAACTTTTTGAAGGTTCGCCAATCCCTCCAACATTTACATATCCTTCAACCTCTCCAGGTGGCTGTTATAGATCAATCAGTGACTTGCATTGTTCGGGATCAGTCAGATTTTCTGATCCAGAAGCCTTGAGTAGAATCTGTAACGAGTTCTTGATAAACGACGGTTTCTCACATTCTGCTAGGAAGCTTGATTTTAATTTAGAAGATTTTGAGAAACGGCAAGGTAATGAAGGCAATGAAGAAGAATGTCTTCATATTGAAGGGAAGCACATGTCAGGAACAGAGTTGAGCACCATGGTGGAGGAACATGTTAAAAGTTCATCTCCACTTTTCTCACTTCCGAAATTCACCCCTTCAGAGACGGCCATTTCTAATTCAGACAAATCAGGCAAGATTCTTGATGGGATTGAGGCGAAGTTTCTCGGCATGTCTGAAGAGCTGGATGATGTTAAAGCATCGAGAGATTCACGAAGTTGCAGTAAAATTTGTCAATGTACAGTACAAGACTTTTTGCAGCTTGTGGACCAAAAATCTGCCACTAGTAATGGTGCTTCTAAAACTCTTCAAAGAGGCATCGAGAGCTCACTTTCTACTAAGCTGCATGGGCCTAGATCCCTGCTGACTACATTTGCAAATGAAGATGACTTCTGTGACAAGGCTGTGGATGGGAATGTTGTTGCTGTCGAAAGTACAATGCACCAAGTCAGGAATTTATTGCCTGATGCAATTCATTCAATTGGGCGAGAAGCTGCATCAGCCACTGAGTCCCTCAATCCAGGTTTAGGGCAACCTCTTGTATTTACTACTGCCGACTGGTGCGATCCCAGCTCCACTAGAGATGACACTACCTTCCTTGCCCCAGAAGCTGAGCGACCTAGTATCGCAGTCACAAGATTTTGTGGTGGGATTAGCAAATCGAAGCCCCCTTTGCCTACAAGTAGGCGAATCTCCTTCGACGAGAGTAACCTTAAATCTAACCTGGATCACACTCCAGATCGAAAGAGACTTGTAGTGTCGGAGAGGAATGTTAGCGAAAGATTGCTTCATAATAGCCCCGCTTCCCCTGATACTCCATTTGCCTGGTGCTCTGCTGTGCTTTCTAGCCAGGAAAAGTCCAATACTTCATCACTCTCGAAGAAGTATTTTCTTCAGAGTCCATCTTTAAGAATAGACCATGGAAAGATGGACTCTGATGCTGAGAGTGTATCCTCGACAAGCTTATCTCCGTCGAAGTTGGATTCTGCTTTTGCAGAGGTTGAGAAGGTATCACCGGGATCCTCCCTAGCATCACCTTCTGGGTTATTTCTCTTTGCTTTATGGTGCGGCACATGGATGCGTTTAGATCCCGTACTGTTGCTTCATGCCTTCAAAGTATTTGGCTTGGAATCTTGTCCTTATTGTTACATTCCTTGCAACGTGTCAAAATTTGTCAATTTAGAGCAGGTAAGAAAGTCAAACCGGTGTGTTGTGCCATCAGTAGTCTCCTAAGAATGACTCATGCTAATGTTCTGTCTTGTTCACATTTCAGAAAGCTGGTAAGAAGCATGCTAGAGCACTATTCACTTGTCAAGAAAGCTCAATGTCCCAGACGACTATAAACGCCTTACTCCCATCAGGTGTTAATAGTGAAACGACTGACAATGGAGTTCTTAAGCCTGAGTATCGCACCCAATGTGATGATATCTCTCATCACTGTTGTTTTGAAGACAATTATGAAGCCATGCTTAAGCAAAGGGACAATCATCGTCTGTGGTTTCCGGAAGAACTTTCTGGTTCTCTGATTGATACCTCCGGACAAGAATCTGATTGCAGTTTCCGAAGAACCACTTCCTCTGGTTGGGGCTGCGGATTGATGACATTGATGTCGGATGGGGGATTCACGCGTGCAGGGAATCCGGTACCTTCGCTGCATGACCTATGCAAAGTATGGGATGAGGAGTGCATCGACCTCGTGACAAGATCCCTCAAATACAAGCTTTTGATGATTGATCCTGTTCTTCTCTGTCATGAGGTAAATAATCCAGTTTTTCTGTTTTTCTAGATCTCTTTTGAAGTCATAAATATCCTAATTTTTGTAGAAGTAAGAGGAGTGTAATTTTTTTGTTTTCCCTCTGGTGGTGTCCTATTGTCAGCATCCAACCTTTGGAGTTGGGTTTAGAGGTGATGCCAGGAAATCTCTTAGCACCCTTGAAAATATTTTTCACTCTTGAAAGTATGTTCACGAGCTTATAGTTTCCCTGGTTACGACAGGTAAAGATGGCATTTACGAACCCAGATTCTTCCAGCTCAAGAACACTTGATTGGGAAATCCAAAGCATTGGGAGATTGAAAGAGAAGACGGAGAGTAAAGTGGCAATCAAGGAGCTTATAAAACATCAACGGGATACTATTTATACGAATATCGCAACGAATACGAGAATGAGAGAGCGACACCGCCTGTACAGTATGTGGGGGATCCGCAGGATGTCGACTGGGAGGTTGAGGAAGCTTGTTTACGAATTGTTGTGGAAAGATCCCAAAAGGTGAGATGTTTCATCATTTCGTTGATGTGATCCCTGTCAACATTTCATTTAATGTTCCAGTCCATCATATTAATATCTCACCAATTATTACCTATATCTGTAGTTGTGAAGTAGGGATATCTTCGCTGTAACTAGAGCTTTCACGCAGCCTTGCTTTGAATCGCAATACACTGGTCATCACTAGCATATACTGAAAGATTGCTCTTGCTTTTTGCAGATATCATGCAAGTGCAGACCTTGTGATTGAGTACCTGTAGTCTTAGACAAATTTGGATACAACTTTAGTGAACTGCTTCTATCTGTTCATTGATTCAAATAAACATATTGATAAATTCAACCTTCACGAATGAGAATGGGGAGTCATGTACAGAATCTAAAAAAATTCTGAACTCCAGGAGGTAGCCCTCCCAGACGTCGTGCAGACTGATCGGCGATCCTCTCATGACCTCTCATGTAGCATACGGAGCAATTCATGCTCCAGAAGAATTGCACTCGTCTAAATCTGGTCACCCAAGTTCCATTTTAGAAGAAGGCATTGAAGACCTGCGAAGCCACTCCCAAAAAAGGCAGTCAGCAATTTTCTATTCACTCTCTCATATTATTGCAGCATATCAGCAAGAACCAGATGCTCTGGTTCAAAAGGAAAAAATGTATGTGGTGTTGTGAAGCCATTTGGAGCATGTACGTGGCCCATACGTAAAAATGTATGGTTCCAACATGTTAGAGATGTGCAAATGTATCATATTCATTTCAATATTAGTTGAATACCTCTCACCACATTTGAGGGTTAGTCCTTATCAGCACCCAAAAGGAATTCGATTGGCACCAATGTGTTGACTAATTCAAACGTATTAGTTAAGCTTATGTATATTTTTAAAGTCAAAAAGGTCAGTCAGGTTGTAGATGTTCATTAAATTTTTATTTTTCATTGAGTAATTAAAAAGGTGTGATTGTACACTGAAATTTTTTCTATATGATGAGATGCAGTCTTGTTTCATTTGCACAACTTGATTAACATAATAATTTACTCATACTTGAAATTTCATGTTTGATTTGTTGTCTTGGTCAATGAGACTGACATTGATATGAGATTGATAATGAAATGTATCAATAACATTTTTGATGAACATACTCCTGTTGAAACTAAATAGGGTTTTAAAGTATTCCAAAGAAAATACTACACATCAATTTTATAGTAATTTATTTTTAGTAAAGTTCTAACTATTTTAGGATTTTTTTACTTTATTTTGCATGTTATAACATCAATTATAGTTAAAATATCACTATAGTGAAAAATAAATAAAGAAAGAAACAATGGTCATTAATAATTTAATCAGAAATAAACATTTAAGTTGCAGCATATTTTAGTGCATCTTTATTTCCTCGAAAGCTTTATATATTTGCATCCATTGTAGAAAATATTTTGTAGTTGTTGTAAATGATTTAGTGCATAAGAAAGTATATGTTTTGAAACTTCTTCCAAACATGATACCAAAAACTATGCAACCAATTTGAAGTCATGATTTTACATCTGTTACATTTTAAAATTTAATTGTGAATTGTTTTTGCACCAGAAAAAAAATCAGATTTAAGCATATCATTTTAAATTTGTCATAGACAAATACCTAACTATTCGCATGTAAAAAAATCATTTGTCTTAAAAAAAATAAGAATTAACGATTTTTTTATTTATATTTATACTAAGACTTAATTAAATAGTTATCCTAAGTTACAAAAAAAATTGCAATTTACAAGTTGAATAATACACAATAGGATAAATTGTTTGCATTTGATTAGGTGATTTATAGATCTCCAAAGTCATAAAAATATTTGATTTTAGAATTTGAAATATATATATATATATATATATATATAGTAGATCTATAATGCATTTATGGAATTTAAGTTTTTATAAAATGTTGAACTCACGTATAAAATTAGAATGTAGTATTGGTTATGTAAGTAATTGAAATATCATTTAGTAACTATCGATAAATATTTAATTTTTCTAATAATAATATTTCATAATATAATAGGAATTTACTGTATGGTCATAACTCCAGGTATGTTTCAAATAAGTATTTTTGTTAAAAAAACATAAAAGAAATTTAATTAAAACTTGTATCAAATTCATTGTTACAAGTTTAATAAATATAAAAAAGAAAAGGAAAATGAATAGGGCATAATAAACATTATATTAACTTTTTAGTATAAAAATAATAATTAAAATGTTATACGCTTAGATATGTATATATATATATATATATATATATGTGCTTTTTATGCTTTTATCTGATTAGTTTTCATGTCACAATAATTAATATAAAGAACTATGCAACTTAAATATTATAAATATCAGGCAACATTCAAACTATTTAAATCATGTATCGTAATTTATTCAAGACAAGTTGATAATATTCTACTAATATACAAACTATTATTTAAAAGATAAAAATATTTTTATTTATAAAAAAATATTAAAGATTTGGATGTAATTGTAAAATTATAAAAAAATAAGGCTTTATCTATTTCAAAAATAAATATGGCTTTATTAGAGCTATTTGCTTAAAAATCAAGTAATATTTCATTTTGAACAACTTTGTTAGTTTTTTATAAATATTAACCTCTATTTAAATATTTTATAAAAATAATAATTAAAATAAATAAAAATTATATATAACTATATATCTCTTAAAGAAGTAGTAGAAAAAAGTAAATAGAAAAAAATTATATTTATTATATATTTATCAAAAAAAATAAAGAGAGATTTTAAAAGATGGATTGAATTTACAAACAAGTTATGTAACTATAAGAACTATTTCAAAAAGCAACTACTTCTAAAAAGCCACTATCATGCATATATATTCTATCTAAGTACATAGAAATAGATGGAAGTAGGCATACATAGGTTGAATAAATAAATAAAATTAAGATCCACATTAAGATATATATATATATATATATATATATATACTATTAATAATTTCTTAGTTTTAATTATGATTATTGAAACTAAATTAATTAAAAAAATAATAATAATAATAATAATAATAATAAGGAAGTATTTACCTAGTAGAACTAGTATGTGGACACCCATCATTATCTTCTTGTTTTGTTTAAGCTTTTGTATTGTAGATGTTTATGTATTATGGAATTTTTTTTATTATTTTTATTTTTATTTTTTAATCTTTACACCTCATTAGTCTCTAGCTTGTTGAAAAACTTGTAGCATTGGTGTATAGTTAGTATAGAATAGGCTTTCTCTACAATATAAGAGAGATATCCATACAATAAAAAGAGGGTTTCTACTGAAGGATTTCCTAAAATAATCATACCTATTATATTTATATTAATCACTATTAATAATTTTAATTAAATTAAAATATAAAAAAATAAATTGAAACAATATTAATATATTAAATTTATTCAAAAAAATCAATTTTAAATCCTTTTGAATTTAGGTATTATTTTTCAAGGCGAATTTATTGATACAAAAAAATAGAATTTATTGCTAAGAAATTTTCACCAAACTTATATTAAATACATAGATTTCAAAATATCAATAATAATAATAAAATTATGTCCAAAATTTAAGTAGTATTTATTACAATCTTTACTTATGTATCTACTTTATTAAATAATATAATAGTTCTTGTTGTAATACACTATGTGGCATGCATATTATGTAATACTTATATAACTTGTTCTACTACATGCAATATTTTCATCTTTGTATAATATTACAATATTTTTTATAATACACATCTATTCCAAATACCAAATATCTTTTAAATCTTACATCTATTACAAAATTCCAAAATAATATTTAATATCCACTTTAATAGTGGAATTTTCGACTGCAAGTGATGGTAGCAAAAGTTACTAAGATATAGTTGTTTTTTTTAAAAAAATTAATTAATTGGAATTTAAATTATAATACTTCCAAAATCATATACTTCATCTTTTAAGCAAGTGTTGAAATACTTTCTAAAACCAAAAACAAGGTCCAAAACTCATATCATCTTTTGAAGTCCTTATTGAAATACTTCGCAAAACCCAAAAACATAGTTCAAAGCTTATATTTATTCAAAAGTACAAGTAAACAATGATCATAGCCCTTGCAGCCAAACTAGTAGGATTTACTATCATACAACCCAGAATCACATACCCAAAGCCAATTTCAGAGCTGGATGGATGCTCACCCAGTTTTACTTTTAATTTAATTTAACCTAATTTTTCATGTCAATTGTCTTTCCTTTTATTTTGTTTATTTATTTATTTATTTATTTTGTGTGTGTATGAGAGTATGTGTAAGATATCTGAATATTTCATGTCTTGGGTGTGAGAGCTTGAGACATGATGCTCCATGATGTAGCTTTGCATCATGTACCCTCAGTGATGTGTTTGTTTGTTTGTTTTTTCTCTTCTTTTCTTGTATATATATATATATATATATATATATACATTTTAAGAATATAAAGTTTTATAAATTTTGATTTGAGTTTTGTGAAGGAAAATAGTATATTTAATGGCAGGACAGTCAAAATGATGACAAATGGAAACATAAAAAGGGGGTGCATTTATAATTAGTTCATGATGCAAAGCAAAGGAACTCGTCAAGGGAATTGTACCTATACTCAGTGACAATCATGCTTGAAATATGGTTGCCCCAAATGCATATATTTATTTGATGCTTCAACTGTGGGTTATGAATCATGGTTTTTAAGTTGGATTTAAATGTTTTATTTTCTAATATTGGTCAGATGTGTCTATTTTTATGTTTGCTTATATTGCAATACAATATTTCATCACAAAAAGGATTAAGATAATTTTGATTCTGTATTCTCCATCACCACATTGGAAAATGTGATTGTATCTGACAACAGTGGAAATTTTTCCACGGTTCTCAAGTTTTGAAACATTTAATATATCAATGAAGAAGTATTATATTCTCATATTATATGATATTGTGCTTTGGGAAACAAGGTGCCCGTGATTTAATCATACAAGCTTGACATCTTCAATAGCCAAGCATAGTTAAAAAAGCTTTTCCATCTTGCTATCAAAATTGGAAGATTAATTCAACTTTGTAGTGTGTTGTGATTTGTTCCCTCTTCTTATCTTAAATTAGTGCAAAATTTGTATGTTACAATGAGTCAACATTTACTTGAACATGTATTTGCTAACAATTTGAAGATACTTGTGTGTGGGTATATGGTCACTTTGTTGATACATTAAGATAAAATAATTTTGGTTTCAAACCATAGGCGAAATTTGAAATGATCATAGTATAAATTGATTTTAGTTTTTTGTTTGATTTGAAGTTCATTTGTAGCATTTTTATGTTTAGCATAGTGTGGAAGTCATTCATGTGCATTCTTTTTTAACAATCTATGAAACCAGACAGATTCTTCCAAATGTATGCATAATTATATTGATAGAATTTCAAAATTATTAAAAAAATTGAGCTAAATTATCACTATGATTATAATTTAATTTAATATATATATATATATATATATATATATATATATATATATATATAAATGTAAATACATATACTAAATTTATTTTTAGAAAATGGAGATTGGTTATAAAACTTATCAATATTATTCCCAATATCAAAAAATAAGATCATTGAAATATTTTTAATTAGAAAATTAGCACTCTGTAACAAAGAGGTGTATAATTGGTAAGAAATAACACATGATCAAAATAAATAACCAACATGATAACCTTGGAATGAACAACATGTTGCTTGTTGCATGAAAAACTCTTTACAACAAGAATACATTTATTTATTTACTTATTCTTATATTATAAAAAAAATAATAATAAGAACAAAAGTCTAGATTTTTTTGATTGTGGAAAAGGGTGTAATGTTATTCCAACAAATCATATCAACATCAGATGAAACTTTTTATATTCATTACAACCTGAAGTTAATTTACATTTCTCATCTTACAGGTGAAAAAACCAATACTCATTCTTCCTCACTTTGTTTTGTTCTAAAATCATAAACATCATGTGATTAGAAAAACAATTACTTTCACATTTTAGTAGGACAATATTAAATCCTTCGAAGTCAAGCCAATGTTCAAACCAGTGTCAACTTTTGACACAAAAGGAGCAGGCATTGTGTAGTTTTTTAGACTTTGTTCTATGTTTTAATCAATCAACTTTGGCCAATAATTTTATGTGCATTGCAGGAGATTTGGTACTGAAAAATGCTTGTGAAACAAATGTTGTAGAATAGAGAGAAAGATTACAGTTGAAAGGTGTTAGTTACTTTTCACTAATATTAAAATACTTGGGAGGCTAAGTCTGCACAAAAAATGTTTTTTTAAGGTTATTATGCATGAGTTCATATATATATATATATATCAGTTGTGCGAGGTTTTCCTTGATCAAACAATTGCTAGATTTGATGTCCTTTTGAAGGAGCAACATAGAATTTTTCAAAAGGTTTTCATTATTAGAGATGTCTAGGCTTCAAGAGATTGTCCCCATTCAATCAAGTTTTCAATTAGATAGGATTTTCTTGTAAAATTTGATGGGTTTAAATGTTCTTCTAATTCAAATGAGTGTGACTTTGGTAATTGTTTACAAATAATTTCAAGTGATTTTTTTTTCAAGTCTAGGTTAGTATTAAATATAAAATCCATTAGATAAAAAAAAGTATAATAATAATAAAAATAACAAAAGTTCACAAACAAACCGGAAGAATCAGTTCCTTTTGGGTTTGTTTGTGAACTTCCGGATGGATGCAAAGGTAGGTGGATGAATGAATGAACGAATGGGTGGATGAATGAATGAATAAATGAAAGAATGGGTGGATGAATGAATGAATAAATGAAAGAATGGGTGGATGAATGAATGAATAAATGAAAGAATTGGTGGATGAATGAATGAATAAATGAACGAATGGGTGGATAAATGAGAGGGCATCAACAAAGGCAAACAAATGCCAGAACAAAATCCCACGCCCCTAGAAACATGGCATTTTTTTTTATTTATTTATTTTTTTTCTCAGAGAAAAAAACAAAATGAAAATAGAAATAGAAACAAAGACAAAATTGTGGTGGACGATGGCCGTTCGAAGCATGCAACATACGGTGATTACATTTAATGCACACCCACAAAACTTACATCAATGCTCACGTCAGGTTAAAGGGTTCCTTCTTCTTTTACCATCTAGATCGGAAGAATCAGTTCCTTCTTCAGATGCTGCAATCGAAGCTCCAGCTCCAGCTCCAGGTTTTACAACATCGTGCCTTTCTAAACACAAAAAATTAACACAAAAAAAAAAAAAAAAAAAAAAAAAAAAAAGAGGAAGAAAAAACCAATAATGGATCAGCGCTGTTATTGGTACGAAGTTTCATAGTATAGTTGATTGGACGCACCCCAGTTGAGTGTAGAAGTTGGAGATGGTGCGTGGCGGCAATGGAGATGGTGTACCTGGAAGAAGAAATCGGGTGTTGAATTGAAAGGAGATAGGTAATTTCATACATCGGTAGAATCTCTGGGTTCACAGGAAATGAATGTGAGTCATAATGCTGTGGTGTGTGTACAGAAGCGGTATTCATACCACCGACCAGGCTAGATAGAGAGGGATATGAGGTCAAGGGTCAAGGGTGAAGAGAAAGGAGAAGAAGTGGGTTCTCGGATTTACTAGAGCATCATCTTTCAACAAGCAATAGGAAGATGCGATATAAGTTAGTGCAGCCGAGAAGATAAAAAGGCTAGGAAAAACTGAGCGTCAGTGTCTAAAGGGGAGATTTACTAGCAGGGCTTGACTCATGGGTGCCGGAGCTCATAGAAAGTTGCGGTGCGGCGAGGACTCGAGGAGTCTGTGGCCTTGACTGGTTCTCATGCACAATCGTTTTACTGGGAATGTGCGGGGGATTGTCTCCGGGTTTGCAGGCTTTCTCGACCAACTAAGTAGCCCCTACTCTGCGTGGACCCATTCTTCCTGTTCCCACACAGGCAAAACTTAATGGCTTTCTAAGCTTTTTTATTTGCTGGGAGCCGGCGGGATCGGTTCCACGATGCACTTGATGGCCCCATGATGGAGAAAGATTAAATTTGGGGACTGTTCAGCCTCGGACAAACAATGTAGCTTGAGGAGAGGGGAGTGCGGTGATCGATGTTGTTGTGCCGTGTGAGTACCCTCATTGCTCGCAGCAGCATCATCAGGTTGTACTGCTCGAAGCGAACGTTTATTGAATGGCCACCACAATTGATCTGTGATGTGTGGGTGGACGGTTGCAATAAACTCTTTTAGCAGCGCTAGATGGCGTTTTCTTAGGCCAAGCTGAGAGTCATAAGCGAGTCAGTTTTTGGGTGACCATCACTGCTTATCGATTCGTGAGAAGCATTCCACTTGGAATTGCGGATGGTTAGTCAAGGATAGTGAATTGGATGATGTAGATGATTTTTACCCACACATGGGCTGCTGCTCGGTCTGCAGTTCGGTCCTATGCAGCATCAGGATGATGCTTTTGCTTCTGCCAGGACTTCACCGGGTCATAACGAGTCCGGAGAGGTACAACCGAGGGTTAGATGTTGGTGAGCATGGTTGGGCGAGTTGACACCCTTGTCCTCAATTCATCCGTCGTTTTCGCAATCTGCTGTTCCTAGTTCTGCATGCAAGCTTCCGTTTCGAGAGTGTGAGTGACAACTGTTCTAGATCCCTAAAGGATCAGATATTCGGGAACTCAAGGGTGCTGTTGCAATTTTCGAAAGATGTGGATGGGGTACAACCACGCGCTAGTGCGAGGAGCGACAAGCAAACCGATGAGGGGAAGCGGAGCTCTTGCAGTCACTGTTCGTATTAGAATTGAGGATTTTAGCAACAGAAGGTCTTGTGGATCTAAGTCCCTGCGTTTGGCGATGGAAGTTGGTCTCATCAGCTGAAATCCTTTGTAGTCGCTAAACGGCCGAGTTTAGTGTCTGGCGGAATTGACCATTCTGCAGCACTCCAAGGTCTTTCAGCTGATATGAAACAATTGACAAATGAGGTATGCAAATACTGTGGGTTGCGAGACAAGTTCACAAGACATTTGATTCAGGATATATAACCCCATGCATAGATTATCCAAGCGTCACTTAGCAGGGATATTTCAGTTTTAGAACAGAATTTGCTAATTGGGCGAAGCTCTTCAAGTTGATAGTTTCATGAATTTCCACTCATTACTGGAGTCTGCGCCAGTTTTTCGAAGTATCAATTAGAGTGGTCAAAATGGCGGCGTTGATGGTTGAGACGCCCATAGCCTTCGGGCTTACGATGGCGGTGTGTTTGGCTTTATTCTTCTATTGTTGGCGCATTCGGAAGTTTCGTAATCGGCTCACCTCCGTCCAAGTCGCAGCCACGCCTAATGAAGTGAATGTAAGCTTTTCAACTTCATCAGTAAGATTTTGGAAGTGTTGCAGCACAACTCTTTAATACTCCCATTTAATCTGTACGTGTTTTAGACCTTGATCCTGGTGTCTGCTAGAATCCCATTCAGCATTCCGTGCTCTACTGAGCAAGTTGTAGTAAGGAACTCTAGCATGTAGTTCGCCAGCAATTGCAACTAGTATTTAGGCATATCTACTCCCATTTCGCTCAAAAAACTTGCTCGAAATTAGTTACGGCTGCTTGGATAAGGATATAAACTCCGTACTGAGTTGGCGTTTCAAGTGACAAGAGGTTAAAAACTGACAATTGAGTCAAAAATAAGAATTTTATTGAATTGAATGGCGGTGGTGGCGGCGGTGTAGTCAGGGTTGCAGATTGGAATCAAGCAGGATGTGATCAAAACCTTCCCAACTGTGATGACTAAGGAGCTGAAAATTGACATCAAGGATGGGCTTCAGTAAGTTGTAACTTTGACCTCACCGGACTTGATTATTTGATTCGCACTGTCAACCGCCGCCAACCTACTCAATTGGTTTTGTCGTATATTTCACATAGAATCTTTCCAATCTAAAGATGGAAATTTCCATGGGAGGCATTCAAAGAGATTGTAGCAATGCTGCTGGTTCGACATAAAATTTGAGATTTGTTAACGTTCGGTAATTTAGGACGTGAGATTCACGCGGTTACCCATCGAATTGCACCAAATCGCCGAAATTGTTTCCGTATCAATGATGCTCTTCACCGTCAATCTTGCAGGTTACTACGTTTAATGGAGGCATTGTGTATTATTTACTCATAAAAATCTTACTGTTGATGCAGGTGCCCGATATGTCTGGTCGAGTACGAGGAGGCGGAAGTGCTGCGAAAACTTCCACTCTGCGGCCATGTTTTCCACATACGTTGCGTCGACTCCTGGCTAGAAAAGCAAGTCACTTGTCCTGTTTGCCGCATTGTTCTCGCGGGAGTTTCCAAGTTATCACTTCGAACTAACCGCCAGCAAAACTATCTTAATCACTACAGATTTCCCTCCAGCCCCCGCTCTGTAACCGTAGAGGTGGCTGGCAACATACCCGCATGGGTTCTTGTCAATCGACCTCTGCCCTTGCCACCAGCCATTCCTGAGCGCCCCTCGGTGGACAGCGTCACCTCTCTAGAATCCAGCCCCTTGGACATTGATGTGCAGCCTTCAGCCAATTTCGGCATGACCGGCGAGTCTCCACTCCTCATTCCTCACGATGCAGGATGGGGAGCTATCTACCTGCAGAGGAGTCATGGCGCACTGAGCTTTAAGGCGCGAACAGGCGCAGACATCGCAATCGAAACCAAAGAGTGCGTCGATCATTCTTCCATAAGCGAGAGGTGGATGACAGAGTCGTTCTCTTTTGGCATCTCCACCTGCGAGGACGTGTCTTCGACAAGATCTAGCCATAATGTGTGGCAAGCTGACTCGACTACACGCCATTCTTCGTGGAGCTCACACTCCCACAACTCATTGTGTGATATCTACCAACCCACGATGAAGAATTGGGAGTCGGAGGAAGTGTTTGAGTCGCTAGCCACCCATCACCAGCCCTTGACGATGTCCCCAGAGCGCTGCTCCTTTGAGTTTCTGCCCATCATCACAGGCACTGAAGGTGACTGCATTTTGAAGCACAATTCTTATGCGCCGAAACCAGAAAGAACTGAGATCGGTTCAAGCCCTCACTCTTACTCCCAGCTCTGAATTTTTCCTCCCGAATTCTGGAGAACCATCTCTTCACCACATTAGTGCACTCCGCAAATTTCTTCATGGTCATGACTGTTGGAAGCATTCATTTTTCGGGAGGGCGGAGTGCACCGCTGGTTTTACGTGTCTCGCAACGAAGGTTTAGAAGGGGACTGTCGGAGAAGATTGGTTTGCTCGAAAAGAGTTGCTCCGTTGAAGAAGCACTTTTACGGGACGGAATCCCAAACCGAAAATAAGGTTCAAATTTTAGGCAGAGTAGATGGTAACAAACTGTACATTCACACTGTGGCTTAAGGAATCACCGCCGGAATGTAGTAATCTTGTAAATAATCACCCAGCCGTGATCTTAGAGGCAGTAAAGTGAACATAAACATGCGAGTTTACTGACACAAGAAAACTTTGTTCACAATGCGATTCACAATACAAAGTGAAGGAAACGCACTGGGTTCCAGTAATACCAACTCAACTCCAATCTCATGAACCAACCTCTACATCTAAAAGACTACCTTCCTACAGTCCCCAGTGACTAATCTCGCCGTTACACAACACAACGGAACGATGTTTGTCACTCAGTTCAGCAGCTACACGTCTGGTACTCTGTCAAAAATCAGTCATTGTTCATACAAACATGGGTTTAAAACAACTAAAGGATTGTTAGATATCGTAGCCCAAATCACTCAGGGGCTGCAGCGAGGTGAGAGCAGCCTTGCACCAATCTCATCGATTGATGAAGTTACTGATCCCATCTGTGGGGAGTTGCGAAGTCGGTGTCAGGTATCTCTGATCCTGGACGTCCAGGTATAGGGCAGCTGCTTGAGGAAGTCAGCCTTGTACCACAGATAGATGAAGGAGAGGTTATTGCCCATGTGGGTTCCAGTTGTGCTTATTCTCCACACTGCTTCCCACCTCGCTGGCCATCATCCGCTGCACTGCCTACTTCGGTGATGTTCAAACCGACCACCGACTACCGACACCGTTACAGCTCACGGCACTTTTACAAATGTGTGTCTGGATTCAAGATGTTGGAGCAATCTTTGAAATTATTCGGTGTTAGTAATCGGTGAAGTGTTGCGTTTCATGAATCAGGAGAGGGATAACTAGGTTTGCATTAGTCTTAGACACTCAATATGTTGTTGTTCATGTGTGAAGGAGTCGAATGTCTGAAATCAGTTGCAGATCAATTTCATGGTTTTGTAATTCTTCGAAGTTTGTTTGTTTGTTTGTTTGTTGTGGTGTCTTATTTTAGCCATCAACAGAACCTTGGTTGCTAGAAAGTTACGCCACTGTTGTTGCGTTCAAGTATTTGTTTATCAGTTTATAAAAAATTCACTTGCATGTCTCCAATCTGTCATTATAAAATTTTGATTGAAAATTGTACATCTCATTGCACATATAAGACGTTGAATTAGGTGAAAGAATGATACAAGTTGAGTCATAATTGAATTGCTTTTTGTATTTTTTTTTACATGATATTAAAAGATAGGGCATCATTACACTTGATATTAACTGTTAATTATTGCAAACAATATCCTTAAAACATTTTATTATTTAATGTTTATTATTTTTTATTTGATTATTAAAAATATTTAATTTAATTTAATTTAACTTTTGTTATTACAATTTCAGAAGGTTATATATCAAATGGAAATTAAGGTAGTAATATTTTTTTCTATTATATTCTACTCTATAAATATATTTTAATTTATAAATTAGATTTTTTTGGTTTTAAATAGATTTATTATGAATTAAAATATCATTATTAATTGGTTAATAATTATAAAATATTGGATCTAAAATCAATAAATATAAAAATTACGAAATGAATAGATAAGAAATATTAATTTGAGACTTTTTTATATGTGATTTTTTGTTTATTCAAATTTAATACAGTCAATGAATTCTTTAAGGTTTTTTATACCAAACAACATGTTTTGTCCTAAAAAGTTCTTTTAGCTTGTTAAACAATTCCAATTAATTTGTTGTTTAATTTAAAGGTTGTAGTGTAATTCAAAAATGAAAATTTAGATTTTTGTTTGTATAAAAAAAATAAATGTGTGTAAAGACATTCCAATGTTCACACATGCATTCTTATTCTAAAATTGTTCTCTTTAAATTATCTCTATAGAAATGTATAAAGTAAAATATAGTAGATTGTTGCATTGCTTTTGAACTTTTATAATATGGATTTAAACTTGTTAATATTGTTCTAAATCTTCAAACAAAATCTGTTATTTAAAGCACTAGTAGTTTTTTTTTTTCATCTAAAAATAACTCTAGAAGTAGCAATACATATAGAAATAATTGTGATGGGTTGTAATTGTAATGAACTAAGCAATGTAATTATGTTTGTGGAGATGGTCAAATTCAATTTATTTTGACACAAAGGCATAAAAGAATTGTAATTCGTTTCTTAGATTTGTTAGTTTAGAGAAATTTCAAACATCATTTGTTAAATGATTTACATGTAACCTATGAAATAATATTAATTGACAATATTTAGCGTTGCATTTATTTGGAGGTTTTTGGTCTGATACAATTGTTTTTTTGGTGTCAAATCCCATGCGTAGTTCATCCTGTTTCTGTGGCTGCTCCTTGTTGGGGCAGCTATCGCAGCGAGAGGAGCTCATTTTGAGAGATTATCGTTGTGACACTTGGAGAGAAATTCAAATATATCATGATATATATATATATATACACGAGCACACACATATCAGATAATATAATCCAGAAAACTCTTCTGAATTGGAAAACATATATATATATATATATATATATATATATATTTCAAAGGAAAGCGTATGTAATTTAGTTACAATTCATCCCAATAGATTAAGCTACTGGGTTTGTTGCTTCGACGAACTGAGATACCACCATTTACACTTAGAATGTCGACTTGGGCCTGGTGAGGACAAGAACCTCATCTGTCATAGTCCAGCTTAAAATCTTGCTTTTGTGGTCAGGGTTTAGCATCCATCGGTTTTCATCTTCAGCACATTTGTAGGCTATCACTAGATCTCCAAGTTGCTGTGCTCGCGCTTGAAGCTCCCAGAAGTCGAATTCTTCGCCAGGCTGAGCATATGTACCTACAAATCGAGTTACAGTTGACGTAAGAGATATGGAGAGCCGCCACCACTGCACAGATGCATTAGTTATCACGAAAGTACTGGAGAGCACACTAAAGATCAGGCAATAAGACGATGATTAAGTGGCCTCAGAATAGAGTTTAATAACTAACTTATGCTTCGCAGAGTTAGGGAGGATCCGTAATCACTGATCACTTCATCCAACACCGCACCAACATCAGAATCTTCAGACAGGTGCGCCAGCACCATTGCTTGCAGTTGCTCGGGCTGAACAGAATCATTGAGCCATGTCTTTTGCACCTGTTGTGACGATGAATGAGGTTGCAGAACGCTGAGTGAGTAGAGAATAATTTCACACTCGGAGACAACCAGTGCAGTCGTAGAGGGTCCCAAATTGGTGATCAAAAAGATTGCACATTTCACATGTTACTTACTTGTTGGATGGCATCATCTTGACTAGTAGGCAGCTCCGCGACAATAACCGCATCCTTTTTCCCACGCTGCATCTGCGTCATTTCATAGATTACACATGGCTCACATTCTCAGAAGGCTATCGACTTAAAAACTAGTTATTGAAAGATTTATATACACCTATAAAACGTGGAAAGCCTACAGATAATCTTGATTCGAAGTATACACAAATACGAAAAGAGGCTAACAATTAACCCCATAATAACCACAAACATCAAGACAGCTACGCTATATAACTTGCGTGCTGCTACTGAGTACCGACCTGAATGTGTCTAACGAACATGGCCGTCATGGTGGCGCTGTGGCTGCTATTCCTATTCTGATCTGCCAGAACAATGACTTTCTGATAGTTTTCGAGAGGCAGGCTCTCCAAAGCTTTCTTGGACAAGGGGTCTCCGTGTCCTGTTCACGGCAGGTCCAAGATAACTCAGGTATTGCTTCTTGGGAAAAATTCCTTACAGCTTTGACGGTTAACATAGAATTCTTTGCAAAATCCCTTGGTCATTCAAGTTAACATGGAAATGTACAACACATGACTAGCTCACGCAAATGAAGTAGAGCGCATGACAATTTTTGAGGGCCTTCGGGCCGGTTGAAAGTAAGAACAAGCTTACTGTGATTCACTTTCAAGGCATGAAACGATGCAGAAGATTTTAACTCTTTAAGCCGATCCTCGATGTGTGTGTTTGCAAGGATTGTGACTTCACTTCCTACCACACCAAATTTGAGGTCAGCTTATCTCTATGCTATGAGCTCGTCGGGTCGCGCCATAGCATTCAGAAACTGTGAGTTGGAGGAGGCATTGCATTCGTCGTAATTGGATTAATCATTATTCATCGCCTGACAAATGGTGATGAAAAGTTACCTTTAGCTACACTATTGTCGAGAAGCATTAGCACGTCCTTCAGATCGTGCTTCCATCCACAAATAAGAACCTTAAGAACCTCCTTAGAGTGCTTCTCAACATTAGGAACAACACGTGGATTTTGCGGTGCTCTCGACTCCCCTGGCTTAAAGCTATCTTCATCTTCGGAAATTACGAGCAGCCTGTCTCCCTCCTGTGTACAGAAAATACTCACTGAGGTATTGATATATTCAGCTCACCAGCCAAACAAGACTACCAGTCAAGCCCACATAGACTGACACTATTATTAAGATTTTTTGTAAGAAAATAGTGTCAAATAGACAATTTTACTCGCCTCAAAAACAGTTTCAGGAGGAGGATTGATTAACGTGAATCCTCCGTCCGAATTCGGTCGTGTCTTGCGCATGCCGCATGGGATAGCATTGTCAAAGAGGAAAAGTATTTCGCCGAAAGTTTTCCCAACTAGCTCCGGCCTTTCATTCAGAACTCAGATGTTAAACACAACCAATCATGCGGACAACTATATTCTTAAGCACCAATTCTGAAAATGATATCTATGGTCAAGAAAAACGTGACACTCAAATGTCGAGTGTTATTTACTGCATGCTAGGAACGCAAGTAGAGACACGCACCATTTGCAAAACCGAAACTCTGAGCCTTCAAAATGCAAAAGCTCTCCGGCGACAGCAGCGATTTGAGGCTGAAGGGCTCTCTCCACGAGCATACGCATCACAAAATCTCCAGTTGCCACTGGCACCATTTTCTGAATCCTGCCAACTCGCTTGATTTCAATCCAAGAGTAATTCAAAATAAAACTTGGTTTACTGAGGTGACTTCCTAATTCCTAAATCCAGAACCCTCCCTGAATACTTTCACCGAGGACCGCTTCAATGGCAGGCCAATGTGGGTGTCGAAATTTATGACATACACCAATCCCAAGATTATGCAACCAGGTGAGCACGTAGATCCAAGAGTACTAACCTTTCACCTGCTTTCAGTAACATGGTGGGATCGGATGAAACTAAGGGAGAAGATTTCAATGATGAAGGGAGTTCTTTAGATGGAGAATTCATGAGGGAAGACAGAATTTGCTTCAATAGATTAACATTATCCAACTCAGCGAGTTCAACAACCAAGTCGGCCTTCAGCTCTGATAAGTAAGCCAATACAAGGGCTTGATGAAGCACCTGCAAAATAATCTTCACATCAGACTAGAACTGGAGTAGCATTCTGACCACGATGCTGTTTCGCTAAAATCAATATTTTATGCCTGTTTGATACCATGTTCGCTCCATGTTCAGCATGTCTCATGATGATTAATATTATAAGGAACCAAAATAAAATTGTAAGAACAATATAATACTCAATTATGGCAAATGGAAACACGAGGCAAGCTACAAATCTAAAGAGTGACACTTCAATCAAGTTAGCTACAGTTCAAGCTTTGAGTCTAATCCAATGCGAAGGGGCATAAACTTTTAAGAACTTGAGAAATGAATTCTCACCAAAGCATCTGCTTCATGGGGTGCTAGCCCTGGTGGAGAAAGAAGGATAATGGAACGGGCCATGGATGCCGAACACTTCCTCAAGTCACTCGTCTCTGTAGGAACACCAGATCTTGTGACAATCTGGAAACATCCATCAATTTGTTAGATTTGAAGATTAGCCTCATAGAACTAAGCTTTGTAGGTGCAGGGGACAAAATCGACACAAACACTTGTATCTGAAGAGATGCAATGTCCATTACTTTAAGTGAACCCTACCAGATAGACCAAGGCTTTCAACGCTTATGACGAGACTCATAAACATCGAGCTTCCCCACCTGAGAATATCAGCGAAAAATAAATTCGAAATTTATCTTTACACTAATAAGTTCCTACCTTAGATCCGTTCCGTTCTGCGTTGGGTAGGGCTGTTCTTAAATCCTCATCCATATCTTCTTTATCTTTGTCTCCCAAAATCACAATACTGCGTTTTAAACCACGAGTTTTATTGGCAACAGTGAGCTCCTTCACAAGAGGTATAGTTTTCGGAGTCCAACCTGCCATACTCAGTCGGTGTCAAGAAGCCAGCTAGATCACAACATTATACATTCTAATGAAATACAAAAAAGTAATTTAGAAACAGAAAATTCTACTGAACGCATTTGGGTACCAAGAAAGACATTAGAGCGGAAAATTCAGATGCGCTACATGTAGTCCACTTATTCCCACAAGGTACGGCAGCAGTTTGCAAGCGAATGCTTAGAACTTTACAGTACGAAAATTCAGTTATCTGGTGGGTTTCGGGGTAGCTACAAACCTACTACAATTGTATGATTCTCTTCAATAACTATACTAGCGCCTTTCTGGAGGTGATCGACTCGAGCGCTCACTCCATCACTCATCAGACCCACCAGCAAGGCGAAAAAAAGCATGCCGCCCATAGTGAGCGGGACAGCAACCAGCCGTCTGCGAATACCCGGCTATTGAAGAAAACAAACTCCCAGGCACTCAAATTAAATGATGTGTGCACGAGAAGATTAACATATGAGAACAACAGACCCGTTACGTATGTGATTAGAAAAACTAAAATCCTGATTCTAAATCTTACTAAGACATGAAAATGATGCAGCTCGAAAAAATTCACGTTAGAAATAAGGGACCAAAGCTTACCACGTCAGCATGAGTGCCAGGATCAGAGATAAAGGTCCATGCTGACCATAGCGAATCCGGCAGAGGCAGTTCTTCACCTTCAGAGTACGAAGCTTTGCTGAACAAGATACCTACAGGAGATCGTGTGGTATGGGCGTGAGGTAAGCATCTACAATTCGTACTCAATCGCTCAATGAATTTCCAGGCTTGAATCACCAAAACCGTTCTCCACTCTAAGTACCGTATATACAAAACACAGTGTTCTTTTTTGTAGCCAACTTAATACTCACTCTAAAGATTTCACATTCGCATGGCAGCTGTATGCAAAGACTAAATAAAAATTGATGGGACTGGATTACTAATATACCTCCAATGGTTGTCATTGAAGCACAAATGGCGAGCAATATTATTGCCTGTCAGGGGATGAAGCACGTCAGGATCGAACGATGCAGCAGGGAGGATGGTACACTGATACTTCGGTAGCACACCACATCATTTAACAGGATGAAAATACCAGACCCCTTCAGATTTAAGTGCAAGGCAATAACATTACCTTACTACCAGGCTCAGTAGCAAAAAAGTAGTCGAGAGCGTATACAGCCTTTTCTTTTGCTGTTGCCTTCATAGTTGTTCTTTTTGGTCGAGCTTTTATAACAATCTGAGAAACCGCAAATCGACACGATTAACTCAGATATGTTAAAACACACACTACTCGCTCCAAGGTACCAGCGAGCTCTGTTGAAATCTATTGCTTATTGCAGAATCTATTTGTGGTATGATAGTTGTTATGATAGACGTTCTACCTCTGTTGTTGCGGCGGCTGCTGGGAGGGCGAACCTGGGCCGGAACCCGGATGCTGCGATCATGGCCAACAGAACCCCGATGCCCAAAAACACAGCATGCTCCATCCACGACTTCTTCGGTTTCTGAAATTCGTTACACATGGAAATAACGTAAAGGCCAGTACAGCCCGAAGGAAAACAAATGAGAAGCAGGAGTTCAATTGCAAAACAACAAATGATCCAAAGCATTTCAGTGGTTGCATGGGCAAACAGTGTAAGTCCAACATTTGGAAAGCGCATGCAAAAGAACGTAAGCTACTTGGAAAGGACGTTTGTCGGGTGTATTTCAACTATTTCGCAATTCAAACTGTATTCCTTGTGTGAGCTTGGAAACAATCCACTACACCTTACGCAAATCAAGTTTATTGGGTCCACAATCGATCAGAAATGTAATGCAATTTCCCACAATCGGATGCCCAAGTACAGATCCCAGAGAAGGCAGCCTCTCCGTTTTAAGGACATGCTCGCAAAACCAAAAGTCAAGAGCAGAGACTTAGAATTCCGATCTAATGACGCACCACGTTTGGTCGTTGAATTGGAGGATAGCTGACAAGGCCAGGCTTGTCGGTAGCATCCCTGGAAAACCCATCAAGATTTTGATTCGCTGCTATGCAATAGAAATTGCTGCGACCATCTCCGTTGTCGCTAACTGCTCGTATTCCATAATTTATGCGGTCGGAAAGCTTCAAGATTCCAACAGGAGCTTTGAAAATTTGTGCAGACAGCGCAGCTCGAGATATCGAAGCAACTGAGGAGAGACCCTGCAAGCTGCGTACAAAATGTGGTAGCGAACCAGAGCATCTATAATCCATAGCCCTTACTTGAGACATTTTGCAAGCACATTCCAGTCGCAATCCTTTGAGGTCGTTCACCGAATCGAGATAGACTTATCCAAGACCCTAGTGGCTGTCACATTCGAGTCAATCGGCTACAGAACTCTCACAATTGAAGCAATTCGCAGTCGTACTCAGAGTTGCATGGACCTCGGGCACGAGAAAATTATCGTGACCAAACCGGGTGTCCTCCACAACTCCATCAGAACAGGCATTGACTACAGCTCCTGCAAGTAGCAAAAAAAAAAAACCATACTCTGATTTCTCCCGACTCAAATAAATCTTAGATGGGATCGAATCACCGGCCTCAGTCAAAGAAACGAAAGAAGACGACCGGGTATCTCACTTTCGCCACCCACAATATCGCCCACGCCCACTAAGATACGCAAGGGGCGAGGCCTCAGGAGGGTTGACATCGAACTACGCCTTGTGATTAGACGAGCGGCTGCCGCCATCCTCTAACTCGGTAAGCTCATGGAAAGCATGAGGTAGGACCCAGCTCAAGGCATGATCCACACCACGAAGCCAGCCAAGCGCAGGATTAGGTTGCAGAGGTATTCTATGGACCAAGCCTCAGTGAACCCACCTCAGTAAAAACAAAAACAACAACAACAACAGTATTGGCACGAGGAACAGCAAGCAAGCAACTCGTTGACGATGGAAAAGCACAGTCTGGAACCCAAAATAAACAACCTATCCCTCATCCGAGGGTTGTAGGCATGATCAGCAACTCGGCCTCTGTCGACACGCCCCACAACCAAACAGAGCTCGCAATCCTTTTGACGAATCCCGGTTTGGTGACGGCGTGATGTTCGTGAGCTCGCCATTACTCCAAACCTTGCGTGATTGCTCTCTCTGGTGTCCATTTCCTCATCGCGGACTTGGTCTGTTGATGGTTGTTGGGAATGCCCGGACGAACAACAACAACAACAATAAAACATTATGATGATGCTTGATTTGTGATTGGGGGGCTTTTTTTTTGTGTGCTTGAGCTTGCTTTTCAGAGACTGTTTCTTCTTTTCATTCGTCCATCGCTGGTCTTGGTTTCGGTTGTTTGTTTGTTTGTTTGGATATAAATTGGGAAAGACTCACTGCCATGGATGGAATTGGATAAATTACAAAGTGAACCAACTTTATCACCTTTTGTGGGCAGATCTAAAAGTTAGCATCTAGAACAAATTTCTAAGCTTGTTCTACTCTTCTTCTTCCTCTTCTTCTTCTGGGTTTTCATGAATTATCAAGTTCCTAAGCTATTCTATTCTTTATATGTTTTCATGGATTATCAAGTTGTATGGAGGCCCTCTGGAGTTCCATTTGTTTGTTAAGTTGGATACCTTGTCACATATTTTGCCGATAATATTCTATCTCATCTTTTGAACAAATATATAAATAAAATAAATATATAAAATGCCTTGTTGTTTGGTTGTTATATATTTGTTTGTATGAAACTAGCCATAAAACTTGCCTATAATCAATGAATCCCTCTTGTATCATTTTCCCATTATGGAGGTCATTCTACACTACCATCTTGAGTCTAGATTTGTAACGTTGAAATGATATAATCCATAAAAACAAATGTAATAGTAACCATATATTACAAAACCTCTTCATTTTTTATTCCCAAAGGATACACAAAATAATATCTTGATTTTGAGGCATTAAAATAACAATAATAATGATAATAATAATAATGATAAATGTCTACATTTAGTTATTAGTTATGTTACAATTTTAAAAGAAAAAATATGATCACATTCTAAAAATATGAATCTTGAAGAAGCATTTTACAGATTTGTCTTACTTCATCTAGAGATAAGAGATGATTAAAATCAGTAAACAAATCTTTAATTAATCCTTGTGATTAAAAAAATGGCAGCTCTATTAAGATCAATGTGCATATTTATGAGCATAATGATATGTTTGGATTCTACCAAAAGAATCTATTCTAAGCTTTGTTAGAAGTTTAATGATGATGAATACACAGAACAAAAAACAAAACAAGATAATAGACATCCATGCTTAATAAATTGTTAGACCTAAATTTGTATTATTATAATTAGATATTAAATTCTATGAAAAAACCATCCATATTTTACTTATAGAAATAAACTTAGCATGCATTATTCTATGTCTAAGGAATTGTTGTGTATTTGAATTTGAGGTAGAGAGTTCAAACAATTGATTTGATTAAGAATGTTTGTGTAGCTTCTTTTAAATCAATAATTTCTAAGTTCTTATTTTTTGCGAATTTGCAACATATGAATCAAGATGTTTTAGATCTTATTAAATATTGCATATTATTTTAAATAATATTTTTAACAGTAACGTGATCTTAAAAAAAAGGATAAAGAAAAAGAAAAAGACCAAAGACAAAGTTCATATGGCGAGAAAGAAATATCAAAAATAAATAAGAATGTTGTAACTATTATAACTCTTCTTGCTACTTTAATTTTTTTTAAGCACAAATAAGTTTGAATTTTATTTTATAAATCAAAAATTAATTGACGTCTTAAATTTACAAATAAAAGTCCAATAGAGGTACTTCAAAGAAATTTACAGGTGTATTACAAATTTGACTAGAAGATGGTTTGATAGAATTTTACTATCTTTTATTTATATATATATATATATATATATATATATATATATTAATAATTTTTAATTTATGTACTATCTACTTAATATAGCTTAAACTTGCATTCATTTTTTCATAATGTTCTATGAATGTTTAAGATTGATATTAGGTTTGAAGAGGTCTTTTAAAATAAATGAGAGTTTAAACATACTCTACATGCCTCCTTTATCCTTATTTAAGATTCTTCTACAATTTGTCGGTTTATTGTATGTTTTTTCAATCATGTTCTAAGACATAGGTTCATCTATTGGAGAATATAAATGAATTATTGAATAAAAATGAGCTATTTATTCTACTTAAAGACATGTTTGTGAATAATTGAAATTAAATCATTTTTTTGCTTTAAACCATTATTAGATTAATTTCAATTAGAATGTAGAAATGAGCATTTATTTTAAAATGAATTTCCTTAAATTCGTAAAATAATTATAAAATAAAAAAATTAATAAGTAATAAATCAACATACTGTGATAGGATTGTTGTTAAGAATGAAGCAAAAACGTTAAACTTCTTTAAGATCTAATTCCAACTTAAGACTAGTTTCTAGCTTGTAAGAATTTTAGATTTAACTAGATTAGATAGATTTTATGTGAATATATTTTATTATCTAAAAATGTATTCATGATTACAAAATCCAAAAGAGTATTAGACCATCTCCTAACAAACATTTCCATTCAATTCTCCAAAATCTAAACTTTAAAACATATATTTAAGATTTTTTTTTTTTTTTTTTTTTTTTTTTATAATACTTTGAAGAGCCAAATTTCATCCAGCAAGTACATACAATATGATCCAATAATATATGATAAAATTTGGGAGAACATTATTTAAGAATAAAATAAGAACAATTCTATTGATATTGACTTCTTGCCTATATGCCAAAAAATGTTCATATGTCCTACTTTTGTAAATTATGTAAAATTTTCTTTTAAAAATAAGATGGGGTATATCCAAAAAGACCAATTTATTTCATTCTCTACAATCATTATAATCTTTTGTGACTCATGACTTTTCATCAATACCTTAAACGATAATTTATACTTCTTTTTGTTTTTTTTAAAAAACTTAATAATTTTGTAATATTCTTTTTAATGCTTACCAAACCTGTTTAATGCCACAAAGAGTATGGAGAATCTTGTTTCATAAGACTTATTTAGTTTAATGGTTCTAAGAATTAAACAAACGATTTTAACATCAATAGAAAATATTGATTTCTTATTTTTAATTATTTATTAAATGGTGACAAAAAATTATTAATTTATAAATAAATAAAAATAATATTGGTTATTTCATTTCTATTTTTATTTTTCTGTTTAATCATTTTATTACAACTATTTCATTTTAATATCATGTGACATTAAATATTATTAGCATAACAATATATATGAATAAGATTAGATCAAAATTAAGTGTAAAAAACTAGTATAATTCAATTGTGATAAAGTTGCTTGGCTATTATAAAGACAAGTTTGATTTCTAAATATTCATGATGGTTCTAAATAGCCAAGCAACTTTGACACAACCATGTTTTCTATTCTTTGTAGTGTTTTAAAACTTTATTCAAAGGTTACAAATTTCTTATATACTTGTGTTGTGATACCTTTTCTCATTTGTATTTTAAGTTTAACATTGTATCTTCAAATAGCCGTGACAATGTATATTATTTTTCCATATATTTTATAATGGCATCTTGTTGAACCCATGTTGTAAATTGGAAGCACTTAATCATGAATGCCACTTACTTCTAATATTCTACAAAATTTTGAAAAGTTACAATGTATATTTATATTCTAAAAAAGAAAACTGCCATTGTCATTGGCAACAAAGATTCAAATGATAAACTAAAAAAACCTCACTTCCTATAACTTGACTGGATGTATATCTTTTTGACATTTTTGATACTTCGATGTCAATCTTCGTTTTACACACAACATTCTAATATTAAATATTTGTTTTAGATTCCAAGCGATGCAAACTATATATGTGTGTGTATATATATACATATATATATATATATATTTATACACATTCACGTACAAAACCTACCAGCTTGCCATCGAAGTACAATTCTTCCCAAGTCAATGCACTCAAAAAGCCTCGGAGCAACATCTGGCATTTAGAAATCATTCCTGATGAAGAAATCCAGCTTGCAAACCCTGCTTGGCCGAGGAAATGAATCTATACAAAAAGAATTCTTATTGAGACAAAGCGTTCCGATGATCTTGAATGATATAGGATTCAGCACTGTACGTCGAGGAACAAATATGATTGAGATAAACAGATTCCCTTTTCCAAAGTCAATTTCAGTGCATAAATAGAGTTTTACAAATATCTTATACGGTTATCTTTAAAAACACGTTTCTTAATAGCTGAAAACAAGGAGCCGATACATCGCGTGCATCTAATCTAACTACATCGACAGACACGTCTTGAAAGACTCAAAAAGATAATCTTTCTTCAGATTCTTCCCTACACAGCACCCACAGCTCAAAGTTAGGATTGGCATAAAAAATTACTGAATTGTGAAATATCGCCATGAAAAGAACAATTTCGAAGACAGAATGCAAGCAAACGAACACAAGCATGACAATCAAAGAGTAGACCCTGAGACAGCACTTCAAAACATACCTATGAAGACTATGTGTGTCCGCTTCTCATCTGATCTCCAAGATCGAGTAGGGACAATCTCGTAGAGGTCACGTACAGCCTGCATTTACAAACCATACGTATTCAATAAGGTGGGTGATAAGTGCAACTAAAACCAGGCTTAAGGACCTTTCAAACTTAGGTAGTTATTTTATGTTCAGTTAACATTTCTGATTAGACGCATTTCTTGCACCAAGAGGATAGCCAAAAAAAAGCCTTAACTAAAAGAAATGTGCATAACCTATAAAAAGCCTTTTGAAGCAGCAAAGACCATGAGTACAGAGAGGTTTTAACCTCACGTAGCAGCCTATATTAAAGTTATGGACTATACATAGGATGGTACTTCTGGTTGTAAGCTTCAAAAGATAATGCAACGAGGTCTAAAATATTACCTGAAGCATGTGCATGGTGTCAGACCCATCAATATTCAGGACACCTTTCATACGATAGATTTCGAAGTCCTTTCCACCCTCCCACAAGAGCTCTCCAAGCCAGTCATTCACCTGTCGGATAAAGATAATTATGAACACCTTTTCAGTTACCCAATCAAAACTCACTTCGGTCATGACAAGTCAATCGATGCAGTAATCTTCGAGGATAAGGTCGGTAGAGAAGTTACCTTGTCCAGGTTGGCAGTTTCAGACAAAGAGAAACTGACGGTGCCCACCATACGATCATGTACATCTCGTTCATCCAATTGTAAGAGTCTTTCCACATTCATCAATTGCTGTGCATTTTGATGTGGAGAGGAATTAGACATAACCCCAGAAGTTTTAAATATCTCAAAAATCAGATTGCATAGACTCAAAAATAGAATACAATTGTACCTGAGATTTGTACGCTCTACGCTCAAATACATCCTTGAGGTCCACTTGACATCGCACAGAGCGAACAATTTTCACTAACCCATTAATATTATGAATCCGGGCTTCTAAATCCTCCACTTCCACCATACCTCCGCTCACAAGGTCAACCTTGTTGAGAAGCACCACATCCTGTATCATAACTCCTGTCAATTCCTCAACAGGTTCAGCTTTTCCTTACACTTGAGTGGGTTCCTTGCCGTCACTAGAAAATCCAAGTGACTTTCTAGAAAATTCAGTATTTGTGATGTGGGAGCTATAATTGCCACTGCTGCCATTTGCTTAGTATCATTGGCATATGCTGGTGTCCAAGACAGTGTCTCTGACTCTAGCAGATATTTAGCACGTAGATCCGTAGCGTAGCAGCACCGAAACATGATTCGACTCAGTGTAGCATCTTCAAGATATGAGAAAAAGTACTGGAACTAAGTTGACGCGACTTTTGTATGCGTAAAAAATAAGAACATTCACAGAAGCAAAGAAAAATACCGCAAAAGCGATCTGAAGGTAAGCTTCATTCACTGCTCCTGTTTCCCGTGTATCTGCGAGTTGTTGTTTCAAGTTCCTAGCATCCACAACCTGTCAACCCACATCCACTGCTTGTTTAAAACAAACGCACAAACATCTGACAATTCTGACTCGCATTCTTTGCGAAATAGGTAACTTGATGAATATGATTGTTCTCGAGCACAAAATTGCCGAGGCAATCTAGGCGTCCTCAATCCTAAAAGGACGTAGAAACTTGATCCCAAAGACAAGGTCCAACTCAAGAACCCAATATAGCAATAGATATCACTGTTGAGAAGGAATAGCTGCATAACTTCAATATAAATCGCTTTGAAGTTTTCAAGTATACGCAATCTTATTGGTCAGGCCTGAACTCTAAACCCCTAAACCTGGTCACAATTGATAGGTGTCAATTATGGTCACCGAATTCTGATGAGTGACATTTTGAATGACAGTAAAGAAGAACATACCGTAACAATGGAGTCCAAGTGAACAGGGGATTCGAGTTGATCATCCACCCAAAGCACGGCAGCAACAGGGCCAGGATTGGCGAGACCTGTTGTCTCCAATAAAATATGATCAAATCTGCACGGACAGGACGTAAACATTCAATACAGGTCAATTATAAGGCAATCGTAGTATATATATATATATATATATATATATATATATATGTGTGTGTGTGTGTGTGTGCGCGTAAGTATGTGTGTGTGTGTATGTGTATGTATATATACATAGAACGACAAGAATACAGGATGATACTACCTAGACAACTTTGAGATATGGTAGCCTAGCGAGAGTTTTAGGGATCGAAGTAGACTCTCACTTTTCCCGGCGCTCGAGCAGTTGTTCAAGAGCTTGAACAAAACTATGCTTGACGCTGCAACAAACACAACCATTGCCTAGCTCCACCCATTCTTCTACAAGTGCACCGCCTGCTCCATCGTTCACCATAGCCTTTTCTATCCCTAGCTCGTCTCCAAACTCATTCAAGATCACTGCTATTCTTCGACCATGCTTTTCATTCAGAATATAATTGACTAACTGCAGAACAAATACACTCAAATGAGCCCACATGTCAACAATTCAACTTGCAAGAGAAAATTTCATTAAAGGGAAACAGGAATGAGAACGTTAGGTCTTCACTTAATTTACACACTAATCTGTGATTGATTCCGCTTACCGTGGTTTTACCAGCACCCAAATACCCTGTAATCATAGTGATCCCCACTGACTCAGCTTGCTCACCAACATTTCCATGATCTTCATCTCTAGTTGCCAGACTCTTCACGGACTCTCCCGTATTTGAAACTTGGGTCGATTTCGTGCTGCTCTCATTTTCTTGTAAAGTATCGAAGAGCGGAACCGCTAGTGGTACAGCCTCGTCTTCCATTCCTGAAGGATGAATTCCTCGATCAGGTTCACTTCATACTATCTCTGAAAAACCCAAAACCACCGCTATCACAAAAATCCCTAGCGAGATAATACCTGGCAGTATCGTCAGACATCCTACCATCCTTCTCAAAAACAACGCGAAGTCACTATGAAGTACACAGCAAAGAAATGCTGCAATCGTAAAAAGGGTTTAGACCTCCGCATCTAAACAATTCCGTAATCCAAAGCAAGGAAAGAGTACCTGTAATTCCAAATGTTGACACTGAATGAAGTTCACAAGGTGTGAAGGTGAGGTGATTGACTATAAGTAAACTCACGTTCACTTCGAAAAGTACGTGACTAAGCGCAACACCATGATAGAAGAATACAAAGCAGCGATCTGATGTAGCCACGGATTGAAGCAGTAGGAGACGTCGACAACATCAAACTTCTGGTGCATTAGATTTCACATCTCGAATAGACATGTTGGAGTGTGTGATAAGCCCTAAAACATTGGCCTTCCCGATTTGAAAGGTTCAAGACTGTACGGAGAGCGTAGAATTGCTGCTGATTTTCTTAAACCCTAAATTTACATTGGGGAATGGTTCGATTTCACTTTCAGTACCCCACAAACAATTTACGTATCAAGAGAGGCAACTTCTGGATCACGTCACCAAACGACCGAAAATCATCCAGGTTCACCGAGACTTATGTTTCGTTCACCCTCTGCTTTCTTTGACTTTGTGTTGTTGAATAGCGGAAGGGCTCCATCGCCATGACCACCTTTCGCGCGAGCTTCTGTCGGAGCGGCCTATGTAGTTGCTAAACGGCTTCGTTTTTTAAATTGCGACCAATTTGTAACTTCTGGTGATGTTCTCTTCAGATCTTGTGTTTGTAGCTGTAGCATCTGGTCATGTTCGGCGTCAAAATCGAAGCACGCGAGTGAGTGTCACGATTTTACTTGTGGTATACTTTTTGGATTGCTCTGTAGTCTGCTTCATGCGTGCGTTTACATTTGCTGATTTGAATTGCCGGTGCCATAGCAGTGGCTTGGTTAGTGATATTCGATCTATCGTCCGCATCGAAACCTCTTAATTCTTATTGGATTTCCTTTCTTTTCTTTCTTTTAATTTCCTCCTTTTGGATAAAATACCATTCGTAGAAATATTTAGCTTGGTGCAGTGACGTAGATGGAATGAAATTTCCCCTGCGATAATAGCTAATCGGCATTGATTGGCACGTGGTGATGGTGGAGAAGCATTGGGAGTTTCACTCAAAATTGACATCTGCATGCTTACCATGCAACACCTGGTACATACGATTTGCGGAAAGCTGGCTTTGAAAACACTCCACTGAAAATTAACAGAAATTATGATATGAAGGCCGCTCGGAATAGTGGTGAGGGTCTGACCTGAATAACGGTTGTAATTCTTCTTTCGGAACAAAGGATATTGATATTGACGCAGAAGTTCATGCAATGCAGTTCGATGGAAATTATAGCCACTTTGAATCCGGCTTGTGAGATATCTTCCAAAACAACTTGGTCTCTAAGAGTGGCAGACTCACTGCAATCATGGTTAGGAGCATACTAACACACTCCATTAATCCCCAAGGTGTAGTGCTTTAAGTTCCTAGACTGACAAGAGCTTGGTGTATTTAATTTACAACCATGGCTTGGATAGATGATAGTTTAGGACGGCGTAAGAACCCTGGCAACAGATACAATTCTAACCAGGTGCAACTGCGAGTTGATCCTCGGGACCAGCTGGATGAGAAAATTTCCGGTCTCAGTGGAAAAGTAGCGCAACTCAAGCAGGTATGATTATTCTCGTATGCGGTGCTCATGCATACGAAGTGATTTCTTCAGAGGAAGGAAAGATGAATTTCCAATATAGAGAGTCTCTGCAGAATCGAAACTGTTGAAGTTCAATTGAACTTAGATAATAGTTGAATTTGTATTATAAAATTCAGGTGGCGCAGCATATTGAGACGGAGACCAGATTTCAGAGTGATATTCTAAATCAGCTGATAAGCAGTTACCTGAAAAACATGTAGAAAGAAAGGTCAGTGTCTCAGATCTATGCTTCTTCTTCGAACAATTTTTATGACAAATAGGTCTTCAATGTTAGGTTGCAATCATTTTTACACAGTTTGCAATGACTCCATATTCCTACTTTTGCCCTTGTGCGTGCAGGAAGAAACAGTAGCCAAGAGACAAGCCATGTTGACAACCACGATGCGAAAGCTCAAAAGGACCCTATCTAGACGAGACATCAACCCTCTGCATCCAGCAGTTGGATTTGCTCTTTTGTGTTTTTCCTGTGTTTATTTGTACACTAAATATCTTGGACCACACTGGTAGGGAAATTTGTAAATTTGTATAACTTTAAACCAATTCAGCTTTTGTATGGTCATGTAAATTATCGATATTTAATTCAACCACCGTGGAACTATCCCCCAAACTGGAAACAGAGCAAGACGATAATTTGAAACCTGTGTTAATCCGAGACCAGGTTTTAAGGTTTAGGGCTAGGGTTTCGGGTTTCTTAAAGAAACCTAAAGAAATACAAAAGAAACTCCAACATATCCTAGTCAAGCCTTATATAAATACCACATTAGATTTCAAACCTCAATAAGTTCTATAACCATTGATCTTAATTCAAAATTTTCACACATTTCACCTATCACTTAAAAACAAGAAAAAAAAGTTTTGAAGAAAATTTAACTTATAGATTGGAAGAAATGGCTCAAATTTGTTTTTGTATTAGGTGTCTTCTTCTTTTTTCAATCTTAATGTAAATTTTGTAGATTAAATTTATCCTTCTTGAATACATGAATATAAATAACTTAATCCACTACAAGATTTACAAAATTGTAATCATTTTTTTATTTAGCACAAAACAAAGTCATCCAAAATAACTTAAAATTTGCAAAGTTCTTACAAAGTTAATATACACTCAAATTCTTCAAAACCAATGTTCATAGAAATCCTATTAAGTTTTCTTTCAAAATATACACTTTGATGAATAAAAAAGAGCTCAATTTTTTGTAAGTTTACAATTTTGTTTCTAAGATCTATTTTGGCTATGGTTTATCACCGCCCCTCTATAGATATCAATTTAAGCTTTATCTAAGTAATTTTTGATTGCTATTCTATAATTCTACGTAAAGATTTTTATAATATTATTTTTGCTAATTTATCTTTTTTTCTTATTTATGGTCCTATAAAATATATAAAAATATATTTTTTTATAAAAAAGTATTAATATTTATTAATTTTACTTTCTTATTAATTATTATCTATATTTTAAAGTAAATTACTATTATATTTTAAAATAAGCTCTTATATAGTATAGTATTTTTTTTTTCTTTCATTTAATAGCCATGTTACAACACAATACCATTGGTCTCTTCATTTTCTCTTGTTCTTTTTTTACTCCTTTGTTACTATCTTCTTTTATCTTCTATAATTACAATTCTAACAACTCATAGTTTGTGAAGGACATGAATTTCAAAGAAAAAAAATCCAATACATTTTTGTATCACTCAAAAAGAGTAAAAAGTCACTCAAAGATGGTAATATATTGAATTAGAATGACTACTGCTAAAGACAAGAAGATTAAAAAGTCTTGAAACAAGACTAAGAACTAAAAAGTTGTTGATAAGTATAAAAAAGACTGCACTCTTGTTTCCATATATACTATCTAACTAGCTATGTGGCGATGTTCTATAGGACCTTTAACGTGTATTGATTTTGTAAGATATACACCTTAACTTGTGAAGCAAGTTTTCTATATGTATGCCTCATACTTAGCTTGTTCCATAAGCTAACAATATGTATGACATATGGTTAACTTATTGATCAAGTTTCTAATTCATCAATCAACTACAAACATGTATAAAGTCAGAGCAGCATCTATGAAGCTTCTAAAAAGCTTCTCTAGAGGATATTATAAAATTAATTTATTTATATCTATTTCTATTTAATCATATAGGTAACTATTGGAATAAATATGTATGTCTGTTGTCGTGATACATTAAGTCTTGCTTGAGAATGCTCCGAGCACTTAGCTATGGAAGGTAGAATGGAAATTGCAACAACAAAATCCTAATTCTAATAGAACACTAACAATGCTAAATAAGCTTTAATCAAATTCAGAGAAACCTCAAAGGAATTCCAAAGAAACAATAAAAAATCTTAAAAAAATATTAGAATGATTACAAACATATCTCAAATACATCTCAATTCAATCTTAATTTAATCCTAGTTGAAATCTAATTGAACTTCATTCAAACTTTAGGCCAAAAACTAACTAAATCTTAAATCTTAAACAAACTCAAATAAAACCCTAATCAAGCCATAAATCCTAAACCAAATCCTAAATCCTAAATCAAATCCTAAATCCTAAATCAAACCCTAATCAAATCCTAAACCCTAAATCCTAAACCAAACCCTAATCCTAAATCAAATCCTAACCAAATCCTAACCCTAAATCAAACCCTAACCAAATCCTAGTAATTTCTACAATAGATTTAAATTTCAATAACTAATGTATGAACCATTGATCTTAACTCAAATTTTGCACACTTCTTAAAAACTAAGTTGAAAAAAAGCAATTTTTTTTTGAAAAGGATCAAAATTACCAAATAGATGATAACCTGAAAAACGTGCTTGGATATTGGCCGGCTTCCTTCTCCAACATTGATGCCAATCTCCCAGAGCTAATATCTCTTTTTTTCACTGTTCGATTGATATCAAAATTCTCATACACATAGAAAAACAAGTCTAATATCTTCACACAAATTTCACTCCAATCCAACTAGTACATTGCAAGAAAACTTAAAAACCCTCACTAGACCTAAAATTCTACTTTTTGCGACCTTGACACACTTAAACCTCAATAATCCTCAATTCAACTATTAGATTGAGCTAAGATTCACAAAAAATATTAAACACAACTATGACCATTAACTTACAAAATTTCATCCATAGATCTATTACAAAACTCTTGAAATCACTAGAAACATCAATCCTATTTTATTTCACAAAATCCAAGTCATGTGAAAACAATCTTGACTTTGTAAAGCTCTTATAAAGTCATAAAAATTCTAAATTGCTCAAAACTAATACTTAAAAAAACTTTATCTAATCTGCTATCAAACTCTATTCTTTGATTTACAAAAGAATCCTTGAGTTGCCATAGGTGCTCAATTTTATGCCTCAAGGTCTGATTTTGATCCAAGTTGATAACCGACCCTCCTTGGGTATCAATATCTAGTTTTTCTAGATAATTTTTGCTAGAATTTACTCTTAACTTCTTTCTAAACATACTTATATCATTTATTTTTCCAAGCTACCTTATTTTACCTTATTTATGGCCCTATAAAGTAAATAGAAGTCACTATTGTAAAAAAAAAAATACCACTACTAAAAGTTTTACTGTCTTCCTATCTTTTATCCATATTTTTCTACTTTATTTTTTAACTTGGCTCTTCTGTAATAAGATCCATATTATTATCTTTTACCATATGGTCATGTTACAATACGACACTGTGACATAGTCCTACTATTAATCTTCAATATCTTCATCTACTACATAGATAATTATTTGTTCTATTGCACCTTTCTTTATTAATTCTATGTTGACTTCTAATATTGCCACAACCCTCTTCCTTACTTCTCTAGTAATTTTAAGTCTTGATACAAGTCTTTAATCTCTTCCATTAGTACTTCAATTATTATAAGTCTTTGTTGCAACTTCTTATTTCATTCTTAAAGATCTTAATTATGTTGCAATCTATCTTCTATCTCGTTAGTGGTTACTAGTCTAACTTAGATTCCTTGTTTCATTCTTACATCAAATTTTAATCTTGCTGTAACATCTCTTCTACTCCATTGATGTTTTTTTTTTTTAATTCTATTATGATTCATTTTTGTAATTTTAAGGATATTTCAAGTCATGTCATAAGTCTTTAAAATTAATTATATTATTTTATAAAATAAATATTTTTTATTTTAAAGATTTAATGTAATTATGAATGTAACTAAAAATAATTACTAATCTCTCTTTTAGATTTTGAGGGCCACTTACTATGCATCCAACAAAGTAAGATATGTAATATTTTACTAATTGTTGAATTTTATCTTTGTGTAATTTAACTCTAGAATTTAGGATTTAAAATTTAATTTATAAAATTTGATTTAATATTAAAAATTATATGAATAAATACTATAATTTATTGTGTGACAAAATTTTAAACATTTATTCATAAGAATGATTTAATTTTATAATTCTTGATATAATAGAGTATTGATAAGATATTGGTATTGTTGACATAATGGGATTAGATAGTTAGAACTATGAAAGTTTCTAGAGTTGGAGTTAGATTAGTGGATTAGGTAGGATCTATTGTGGAACATTCTAGAAAGAATTTAAGATGGTTGTATAAGTAGGGCCTATCATAGAAACTTCTAAAAAAGGCTTAAGGTAGTTATATAAATAGGGCCTACTATAGAACCTTCTAAAAAATCCAGGGTGGTAGAACAAAGTATAAATAGGACTGGCCAGGGCCTTTTGATGCATCTAATTAGATATGGCTTTGGATCCTTTCTCTTAGTAAAATTATTGTGGTCACACCGAGTACTGTATTAAAGCTACCATGAGCTACTCTTAAAAAGTCAACTAGAAGATGAGAAGACATTACAATAGTAGAGTTCAATGGAGAAATTACAATATGAAAGATATAAAAGAGTAATTCCAAATGAAAACTCAAATACAGCACTTCTTATGCCAGATAATTACTTTGCAAGGGCTAATAAAGGCCTTGAGGACAAGAAAGTCAACATGTGCTAGGCTGAAATTGAGGAAGCCTTGTACATATTCTGAGACTTTAAGATAAGAAAATATATGGCAATAGTTCTTTAACATGCAGCAATACCTCCAACTATCTGAGACAAATACCATTGAAGGAATTATGTATGCAACCAACTTTTTGAGAGATGCGGCAACTATAGGGTGGAGATATTGGGTTCAAAGCTTTGGAGTTCAAGGTGGATTTTGTGATTGAGAGGAGTTTGAGACCAAGTTTACGAATCAATTTTGGTCCATCAATGCAGAGAAGTTAACATGCGATCAATTCATAAATCTTATACAATCTAGGTTAATACAAGATTATATCTCCTAATTCAAGTCTGTAAGTCTCTAAATTGACAATGTTTTGAGGGCGGAGATGATGGATCAATTCCTACGAGGTTTAAAATCGGAAATCCAATGAGAGGTGGAACTAAAGGATCTACAAACATTTGAAGAAGAAATTTGGATTACAGAGAGGGTCGATGCTATGGATTTCAAAAATTATAGAGTACAACCTATAGCTCAAAGTCCTATGCCACTATCTAATACTATAGCATAACAAGCAACACAAATAGAGATTGATGCCTTACAAGGATCATTGATATTAC